TTTGACTAGTTCTATGTGATACACTGGGACATGCTTCACTAAGGACACACAGTGCAATCTCTTCTATAGGCAGGTCTAATGCAGCTTGTTCTGAAATTTCCCTGACCAGTGCACAAATGGTATCCTATAAAATAAAAACAAACAAGAGACTTCAATAATATTGTGTGATGATACCAATAAAGGTCCTGTATGATTTTTTCATGTTTGCCTTAATTTTTCAAATTGTGTATTTTTCAAAAAGAAAAACTCACAAATTAGAATTTTATAATCAATTAACATTGTTACAATGGTGTTTCCATAGAAATCATTATGCATGAAGTAGCTCACTAGAGATGCTGAGAATATACTTGTTTACAAAAACCTAGTTGGACCTCACTTCCACAATAATAGTATTTGTGCTAACTAAACACTTCATTTTGATACATGCAACCACAGTCCCTCTATCCCCGGTCTGGAAACGGCTATTGTCTAAGGTGTGAATTACCCACTGTGGTCGGACTGCGCTAGGTATGTCTTTCCGTGAAGCATAGCCTTTTGATAGCGGAGCATTCTATTGAAACAAGTGATTCACTGTTCCCTTCATATTCTAGTTTTTACAACCGAAAAAACCCCATATATTTTGATACTTTATATAGATTTAGCTCAACTCAATTCTTTAGCCCGAAAGTCTTTCTATAGTGGCATATTGACATTATTTTTCGTGAATATCGCACTTAAATTTGAGGTACTCTGTCAGGGATCGCAACTTGGAACACTTCTAACAAACTTGACCGGTTGGCCCCTTCTATTCGTCATGTGTTTTTGAAAGATCAATGTTTTTTCGTTTATTGAATAGCTTAACTAGTTTTAGTTGGTGGATCTGTTCATTGTGCTGGTTTTATTATATTATATACAGTATACGTATCATATTTAGGCATCATTTAGGCATGATTTCTATTCAAATTTTCATGTCATTATTTTTGTTTCCAAGCATATATTTGGGATGTAGTTTACAAAACTGGTGACATCATGTCTCTAAGAATAACATACTGCAGTATCATTTTTTCAGCACTGCCAGAAATTAAGTAGGCAGACTTTTTTTTTTGCCCAGATGAGAATTTATTTACGGGCGCCATTTTGTTTTAGATTTACTGAACTTATGCGACGCATTGTCAGCGGGTTGGCCCCTTTTATAGTAAGAAAACTGCGTTGAACCATAATATTTTCTTTCAATGTGAATAGATATGTACATTTACCTTTTGGTGATGTGGTTATTCTTTTCTCGGATGTTCGTATTTTGATAAAACACGGTAATATGTTCTGTTCTGTTTGCAGTTTGTGATTGCAGTGCTTAAGTTAGTGTACGCTCAGCATCGTGGCTAATTGTCCACAAGGTGTGAACGGTTTATTTGCCCGCAACCAGCCCTGGGACAATAGACTGCGAAGTGTTTCCAGACCGAGGATAGAGGGACTGTGATGCAACTGAGAATCAGGACACAATTTCAAAATCAACATACATGTAGTAATTTGCCTAAATATGTCTCATATTACTAACTTAGACAAATACTATAGATAATAAGTTGAAATTATTGATGAAAAGCATTGACAATACATAGTCCCAGGTCAGTATTTAATGTGAAATTCCATCACTAGCATCGAACCAGGAGTCTGAGTGTGGGTGGTACATTAAGCAAATTTGGTTGAATCACTAAAAAAATGTAAGTGCAAATAAGTGTAAGTATGTAGAATCTTGCAAGCCATTTCAGATGATCCTGATACAACAGCCTCTACAGCTGGGAGAAATGTTTCTGAACATATTTACATACTGCAATTTCAGGATTTTAGACAAAATGGCCATCAATTTTGGAATCCAAAAATAAGACAACCTACAGTATTACCTTCGATTATAGTACTTGTCTGCAAACTTTCAACTGAATCAGGCAATATAGTAGTGAGGAATCAACATGAGCATGAATGACATAAAAATGGCCATCAGCTGGCAATTTTTATTCAAATCTTGAAAGAAATTTGACATGCACCTGTAACCTAATATGTATGATTATGAAACAAAGATTGAATGAAATTGTCCCGTTTGAGGAATGGTCCAGAACAAGTTTAAGTATCAGAACTTAGCAATTTTGAAGACCAAAATGGACGTCTATCAGCCATACTTAACTTGATCGACTGGAAAAGAAAAACAATGAGCATATTTGCAAGTCATCATGAATGGTCTACGTGTTATGTTTGAAACTGGTCGGTCAAAGCATGTCAGAGAAATCATCTTAGATTAATAAACCAAAATTAATATTTTTTTATTTCAGACATCTCCCAAAACAGGGACTAAAAATGATACTCATTTGAAAAATAGTATAACTTTATGAAAAGACAGTTAGGGAGTTAAGTTACACCTGCACTGCACTGTATGTATGCCATTGCTAGGAAGTGACAGCAAAGTCAACTTTAATTTGCATAATTTGTTCTTTATTAATTAATAAATTATCAAAACAGAAATGAATAGAAACTTGTTCATTTGGGAAATTGTGGCTCACAACTCAATTTATCGTAATTTTTTGCAATTTCTATTGCTACAATGTCAATTGACCCTGACCAATTCCTACTTACCAACTTGGTGTTAAAGTTTTCTTCATTCATTGACTTGTTTGTACACATCTTTTTGAATGTCTCATCAACATGCATAGCTATGTAACAGACTTCTTTCTGAACTAATTCTTTCCATTCTTCCTGAGAAACTGTACGTGATTGGCTCTGATAAAGTTTACGAAGGATCTGCTGAGTCAAAGGATTTGATTGGCTACCAATTGCCTGGATTTCATTGTCATTGCAGCAACCTTTGAGCACCAGAGAAAGGCATTGTGGGTAATGAAGAAAACCACCAACCAGGGTGTGTTCATAACTGGGTAGCCTTGACAACTCATATCCATATCTCTGTTGGAAACAAATTACAAGTTAATGTAATCAGGAATGAATAAAATAAGTTTTTGTGTCATTCAACTAAGATGCAATAATAACAAGACGTAGTCAGAAACATACAACTGTAAAAAACTTTATTTTCACTTGGAATTAAATTTCGCTATTTTCACTGAAGGGATAACTTAGTGAAAATAAAATCCAGCGAATATATCTTTTTTTCCTATATTTTACATTCAACTCATCAAAATTAAGTGGAAAGAATTCATTACAAAACACTCAAAAAGTCTTTTCAGCAAAAATTAATTCCAGGTAAAATAAAGTATTTTACAGTAGTCATGAAATGTTATAGATCAATGCCACAAATATGTAAATCATTTTCAGACTTGCTTAAATAAAAATGAATAGATAACATGATTTTAAATATATATATATCACAAAACTCTTTGTGATGAGTACAAAATGTACACAGGTTACTACATCCCACAATGGACACAATAGTAATGATTATATCAAATATGACAACAATTATTGCTGATATAATTATATATTTCCTGACCTGCAAAGATGCCTCATATTTCAATCTTATGTCAATAACAATTTGTTCCGGTTGGAGGTCTTCTTGGTTGACAAGCAATAGTTGTATTTCATCACTGGTCAGACTGCCACCGAGTCTCAATTTACCTGTACTCTGTAATAATAACAACACAAATGTCATTGTCAATTCATCACTGGTCAGACTGCCACCGAGTCTCAATTTACCCGTACTCTGTAATAATAACAACACAAATGCCATTGTCAATTCATCACTGGTCAGACTGATACTGAGTCTCAATTTACCCGTACTCTGAAATAATAACAACACAAATGTCATTGTGACATAGTGCCCATTCATTTGTAAAAAGGAGTGGATGTGTACACATGAGACATGATAAACAAGTCATTGAAAATGACACAGTCCCTGTTAAATTTTGGAAAGTTCTCAATTGCTCGTCATATTAAAGCGGAGGGGTTGTCGCGAGTGTGTCCTTGAAACTCCAAGTGCCGTATACAACAGATTGTTTATTTACATCAAAACACGAGTTCCTTGTAGTAGTAATATGGCCACAAATAAAAACAGCCATTATTTGGTCATCTTTGATCTGATTACGAAACACACTGATATGTATGATATATGTGTACATAAATTGTGGAAATATAGCAGTAAGGCCAAAAAGTCAGATGGCTGTCAATCGGCCATCCTTTACCAGATTTTGAAACAAATAGTCATGGACATGTATCCTAACATGTATAATCTATGTACTAAATTTGAATGAAAACTGACAAACCATGTCCAAAATACAACATTTTCAAAAAACAAGATGGCTGCCAGTCGGTCATTTTGAATCGAATCGCTAAACTACTGCATGTGCATATATCCCACATAAAGTACTAGGCACATGCAAAGAATGAACGGAATCGGTCCAAGGGATTCTGAGATATGACTCTGGACAAACGCACGGACGCACAGATGCACGGACGGAGACCGAATTATAAGTCCTTGTTTTCGGACTTCGTCCGAACGGGGACTAACAAGTAATGGCATTACATAGTTTCTGTGATTTCTAAAGTTTTAGAAATATATAAAATTTTAACATGAACAGACATGCATGCGTTGTTCAAGCAAGATATGTGATGTATTTGTGTAGTTTGAATGTGATTGGACCAGATATGTCTGAGATACAGGTGCATCCACACACACACACACACACACACACACAGGTCAAAACACAAGTCCCCGTTTTCGGACTGTGTTCAAACGAAAACTAGCAAGGTGCATCAGACAAACATCTTTAAAACAGAATTAGTAAAAACAAAATGGCAATCAGTCAGCCATAAAAAACAAATTGACAAGGTAAAGTCAAGTATGAACAAAATTTGTTGTTGCACAACCAAAATCCAGTTCCAAAAATGCTTTATTTTAATGATTTTATAAATTTTATACTAGATTATAAAATAATTGCATATGCATAGGAGAAACATGATATAGGATACATGTGTGAATTCTGAACATGATCAGTTATGGCATGTTGGAGAGATACTGGTGCAGATGTATTCATGCACTATGAAGGGATTCCATTAAAAAAAATATATTCCCATCATTTAAATTTAGTATCTATATATTGACTAAAAATAAAACACATATTAAATAAACAATGCGTATTTTACTGTATATATGATAGAAAGCATACGGCTTTACTCTCAGAATTGGGCATATGCTATCTGGCATAAAAATTATGCACAATACAGGGATGGAACTCATAAAAATACATATAATTCATCACCATAAAACTACTAAATGTACTTTTCACAAAATGAGAAAACATATGGGATATCCCTGTATATGAAATGACAGTTATTTTATGTTTTATTGTAGGCATTGCAGACTTTAAAATATAAAGAAGAAACATCTTACTTCAAACAATTATTCAAAAGAAAATATTGTCAACTCATCTTGAAAATGAGGTCACAATTTTGAATTTCGAACATCGGATATCAGGGGTAGGATATCAAAATTATTAAACGGGCTGTATCACATGAAACAAACACTGTCTCTCATAAAATTAAATCTGCTTATAGTAATTTACATTAATAATGAAATAAAAACAGGAGACTCCGATGTTATCAAGCATTTATGTCACCATGTACTTATACTAACCTGAGATGCAGCTAGCCAGGAATGACATGCTTCTTTCATGGTTGGATCATCTTCATAATCATGTATAATATCTATGATATCGTTATACTGACTCAGTGGACACATCAACTCTACAGCTGTACTGTAAAACTGAATCTGTGTCTGCATCATGGATAAGAAACACTTTGCAAGCACCTGGATAGACAATAAACAAGAAGCACATTTTACTACCATAACATTTGACTCCATTTTTATTGTACAAAAGCAAAACATAACACATAACTCTAATAATCCCATTTGTGTTTACTCTATTAGTAGTGCATTCTTTTACGTAAATTACATGAGGAAACTCACTAACTAATAATAATAATAAACAAAGCATAAATAAAAGACTTTTTTACTGTGTTCTTACTAGAAGCTGTGCCTAGTAATAACGAAGATACAGATTTAATAATCTACCCACAGATAGGAAATGCACTGGGGGGGGAGGTAAGTTAAAATTTATTTACTAGCACTAGATTATTAATTATTATTCACAACATAAAGAGCAAATACATTAAAAGAGGGAATTGGTGGTGAAAACGTTAAGCTATCATCTTTAATAGTAGAATGCATTTGCATTTTCAACTTTATTCAAAGTATCAGGATTTGCTCGACACAACCTGCCAAAATTTGCACCATGTGACTATTTCCGCAGTTATACTTTAAATTGAACATTTGCTCAATAAATTATGGTCCGATACATAAATATTTAGTGACTATTTTATGATTATAAAATGGTGGATTTGATGACATACTCAGACAAAAGTATCACATGACACTGAAAACAGTAATGGCCAACATTGTAGGGTTAAATCAACTCAGTTATTTATGAGTAATATTGCACAGTAGTATCCATACTAAGATTAGAAATAAGTTATCTATGAAGTACATTTATAAAGCAGTTAATGGCATGTACTCTGGTATAATGAAAGCATAACATTTCTAACAAGCATTGACGATTCACAGTTGCCGTTCTATATTTAACACCAATTTCCATCACCAGCAGTGACCAAGATGTGTGGGTGTACATTTGGTTGAAAAGTGATGTTACGTGATCAATCATTGCTGGCAATGTACTGAAATGGGCTGAGCAAATACAAATGTAATGTGTAACCCAAATCCAGTACGTAGAATCACTGTACCGGTACTATGAGATTAAACAAAATCATAAAAGCCAGAGAAATAGTTAAAATGATGTGCATCTGTAACACAGTATGTATAATCCTGATACCAAAAAACAAACATGGTCTTGGGGAGTGAGGTCCGATTTTCAGCTTATGTAATAATTCAAGTTTTTGAGTTTATGTATAATTTAAGAAGCATCACTAGTCAGAATGTTTATATATATATATTTTTTTTTTATTATTATTTTTTTCAATTTTAGCGCTTCCATTTTGTTACTTCCTCAGTTTTTTTTCTTTATTGTAATTTTCTTTTTCTGAGTCATATCCAAATAAGATACGATTATGCATAAGATTATTAATATTATTATTATTATTACAATATAC